TGTAAAAGCATGAGGTTGTATCAAGAAGACCAATTCCTCACTGAATCTGTTGTGCTCTTTTGCCACTAGATGACTCTCAGCTAATGCATCTATTCCAGTGGGTGGGGAAAAAAAAAAAAAAGAAGGAAATCTCACTAATGGAGAGATATTTACCTCCCTACTCATGATGGAGGGCTGCACATTCAGGTCCCAGCTGCTGTGACGCTCACTTCAAGCTCCCTGCGTCACCCATGGGGAGAAATACACGTTTTTAGGAGGTGATTCACTGACATATTTTAGATCCTGTGAGGCAGGACAGGATGAGGGCAGATCTCAGTCTGCTGGACTCAGGGCTGCTTTTAAGAATGGCGTCACTGTACTCAGTAGATGTTCAGGGCTTGATTCGGATGCTCACATAGAGATGGCTGGTGCCACCTGAGATGCTCAAGCCCCTGCGATGTCCACATGGGAAGCAGACGTTACAGAGCCCCTGTGGGAGACACACACCTTTCTGGAGCAGTGGCCAGGGTATTCTGGTTTATCGCCAATGGTTCTGAGCATCTACTTGGAGGATACTCAGCTGAGCTTTTACTCTCTCCTTATCACTTGACCTTGATGGAACAACCTCTGACATGGGTAGTTAATAAAAACAGAAGAGAAGTGCAGCGTACCAGGGAAGTTTCCTATCTGTGGTGGGAATGATCTGCACCGTAGTGAGCACTTAGAGCTACTCAGCTTTGAAGCTAACAGACAGGAGGAAATAAAGATGGACAAAACAGCAGCCTCTGTGCCTAAGATAAAGCTCTTGCCCTGACTTTCTGGGTTTAATGTGCTACATTATTGATGCTGAGCTTTAGACCAGTGGCCCGTGGATTCAGGAGGAAAGGGGGGTGAGAGAGGTCCATCAGGGAAGGGCATTGTGGAAGACTGGCTGTCCCCTGTTACTCCTTGGGGTGCTCTGTAGGAAATGAAATAAAGTACTCTGAGAATCTGGAAAGGTGTTTTTTGTTGGGTTTTTTTTTTGTTTGTTTTTTTGTGGTTTTTTTTTTGTTTGTTTGTTTTTTGTTTTTTTTTAGGTGGGGTTCTTTGGAAGTTTCTTTGCAGAAAAGTGGTTGCTGGTGAGGAGCTCCCTGGGAGGAGCAGTAGAGCAGAGGCTGTGGAACAGGGAGGTCTGTGAGGACCAACTCTCTGGTTTTCTTTGCTCTGCTCGCCAAGAAAAACACAGCACTGGGGCCTGAGGTGTGTGAGCTATTTGCATCAAAATGATCTGACAGTTCCTCTTGAAATGAGTTGGTATGAACTAGTCTGTGGTTTTCAACCCAGGTATTTGAATCATGTTCTTAATCCTGGCAGTTAAAACATTGGGCCATTTGTCTCCAAACGTTTACAGTTTTTCGCATGGTGGCTTGGTCTAAAGTTTTATTCCTATCCCAAGCCAATCTCAGGAATACTTTTCCCTCACATGTTAGGAGTAGTGTCTCTTCCAACCAACACAGATTTGCAAGTGGCTGATCTGCATGAATTTCAGATGCAGAAGAGAGGAGGATTATTTGATTAGAAAGTAACACATTTTTACTCCTTGTATGAGAGCCTGTGTGGTGAGACTGCACAATGAGTAATAAAAATTAAACAAATATTTTGTCATTATTCCTGTGTGAGTTTTTGACCATTAATTATTTAAGATTGATAGATATAAAGAAGACAGATTGATAGGTAAGTAGGTAGGTAGGTAGATAGATAAATATGAGATGAATAGAGTTAAAAAAATAGATATAAAAGAATATTATTAGTTTCTTAGTTTTACTAAATTCTTCATGGGTACAATACATAAAACATTTCAGAGTCAAAATGCCTCTTTTCCTTTGTTAGGAAATTTCACTGAAAAAATTCTTCCTATTTTGAAAAAAAAACCAACTCCAAATTAATATCTGTAGTAATACCAATTCTGAAACATGATAATTTGTCTTTAGTCAAGCCAACTCTGTCTAAACCAAAATTATTGTTATTAGTATTGTGTAGCCATTTTCTTGCAGGTCTCTGCAGTGCTCAGTGCTTGGAGCCTCCCTCGTCCTGATGTGCCGAATGGCTCCTGGAGAAGGCTCTGGTGACAATTCTGAGAGCTCAGGCTTTGACACACATGTGAAAGGCAATTTGAGGGATCCAAAAAGCCATGGGCTGAAATTATTTTACTTTATTTTAGACATCTTTACGTACCTTAGCTAAGTGCATTTTTAGCATCATTGTGTTTGCAAGAGTCAAGCATTTGCCTTGGTTACCCACACTTCTGTGTTGCTGGCTCCAGCTGCTTTGCTGCTCTTCACATGGCATCAGATGCTCCTGTCTAGGGTGGACAACTGAATCTTGCCTGGAGAGGCAATTCCTCCTGCCTGCTTTAGACATCTCTTTCAGCATGGGCTGCACGAAGGTTGTCGCTCTTCATGGACTGTGTGGCTTGATGCCTATCCTAGAAAAGACTCCTTTTCAGTGGTTCAAGGAAGACAAGGTGAATTTCATAGAATCATAGAATCTTAGAATGATTGGGGTTGGAAGGGACCTTAAAGACCATCTAGTTCCAACCCCCCTGCCATGGGCAGGGACACCTTCCACTAGACCAGGTTGCTCAAAGCCTCATCCAGCCTGGCCTTGGACACTTCCAGGGATGGGGCATCCACAGCTTCTCTGGGCAACCTGCTCCAGTGCCTCACCAACCTCTCTGGGAAAGAATTTCTTCCTGATATCTAATCTAAACCTCCCTGCTTTCAATTTAAACCCATTACCCCTTGTTGTGTCACTACAGGCCCTTGAAAAAAGTCCCCTCCCAGCTTCCTTGTAGCCCCTTCAGGTACTGGAAGGTGCTATAAGGTCTCCCCAGAGCCTTCTCTTCTCCAGGCTGAACAAGCCCAACTCTCTCAGCCTTAATTTTACGCTACTTTAAATTTAACTCTACTTATTCCACATATTTTCCTACCAAAGCTAATTTGAAGTCACAAGTCCTTTAGGTCACACAAATCAAGCCAGAAAATAACTTCAGAATAACAATATTTAATATTTACATATATCAGTGAAGCCAGTGATTGCACAGCTGACAAGACAGAGGGTCACAGACATGACACTGAACATCCCCAGGGCAGGACAGCTTGGAATAAGCAAATGACAGCAGTACAGTAGATTTACTTTCCCGTGCTGGAGGTGCTGTGTGCCAGTGGGTACCTCTTCCTCTCCCGGTGCTGGTGCAGCCCAAATTGTCTTTATCATAGAGAGGAGGGCCAGGGAGGCAATACTAAAGGATGAGGGCAGGGCTGATACTTTGGGGCTGTGAAGAGCTCATAGAGCCCCTCTGCTGATGAAGAAGTCCCTCTTGGTCTGGCTGCATGCTGAATATCCTTACTTCCATCTGCCTCCTGAACTCTTTTCCTGGTTGAATCAGTGGGCTTTATTTTGATGTCCACTTTATATGGTAGCATGTCCTGGCTTCACTGCTGACAATGAGCATGAGCTTTCTAAGCCATCTGGCAGGTTTGGATGCACTTAGTCATGATTGCAAACTTCAACAAGTTTTATTCCTTTTTTACAGTTTTTATGGTCAAATTTCCTGCTTCTAGGGGTGAAGCTATGCTCCAAGGAAATGCACACGTGCTCCTCATCTTAGCACAACTGGCATTTTCTTCCCCATTTTCTATAAGGAGGTTTGTGTGCTGCCTTAGAGGACAGCACAACCAACCATATATGTCTGCAATAACTGTTCAAATAACTTGCTCCTACGAGACAATGCAGAAATATGAACAAATTTTGGCTGAGAAAAAAAAAAAATTAATTTTTCTCTTTGAAAAATAGATTCCAAATGCTTTAAATATATTCATCTTTCCATAACTGCATACTTGCCTTCAGGATGGAGAAAGATTATCTTACAGTCTGGCTGACTCAAGAGAACTCAGTGGCATGTCCAGGAATTAGCCTCTGAGGAAGTCACTGAAATGATGGGATTTCTGAAATTTGCCAGTCATGGGCTTTAACATCAAGGGTTTGATCTTGAGTGATAATGAGGAATTACGCAGTTCCTGGTTGGGATTACTGTTGCTGTCATAGTAAGACTTATGCAATTTGTTGCCTTTCAGATTATATCTCTTATTTATTACTAAGCTGCATGTAGTAATTTTATCTTTACCAGTTAATTGCTTGTCTATGTGATCTATTCTAGAACAGCTCTACAGACCTGCGTAGAAATTAGTGAGATTCTTGTCTCAATGCAGTCTTGTGAGGGCAAATTTGGTGCTGAGGTTCTCCTCCTTTCAGTTAAACCAGGCATTATTAAACTCTTGCTCCAAACCCTACTGCCTATTTTGACCCAAATGCCATTCCAGGACTACCACATCTCTCAGATGCTCCTGAAGAACTGATGTAGAAGTGCTCTGGACTTTGTCAAATATGGTAGCAAGCTACCAAATGAGCACAACGGGATTCAGCTCCAGGGAGGCTGACACTTGTCTCTGCAGTGTTGCAAATGCTGCTCAATACACTCTCTGCACATCCTGATTTAAATCTGGGAGTGCCTGGGCAGAACGTTAATAGGAACAGACAGGTGAGCTGAAGGTGGGATTTGGAGGGAACAGGAGGTTATTTACATCCAGGCAGAGTGCCTGCTTCGTGCAGCTCATAAATGCAGACATTAACAACGGTTCATTTTCCCATATACACAAGAGGGCAAGTGGTGAGCTTTGATCTGGGGATCTTTGTGTTTTATGCACAAGTACAGCAGTCAGGACCAGACAGATTAGTGTTTTTTCCCAATACCTGGGATTTAGCAGGAATATTCAGAGAGATGAAAATTTGGAGCCTCCGATCTAAATGATCTAGTCTTTTTCCACCCTGATTTCTTTATAAAAAGATTAATTTTGCCCCCTGCAAATCCTGAACATTTCGGGCTTTCTTTGTCATCCCCCCCTAAATACAGCACAGTGCATTATCCTTATTGTATGTGAAGCGGCAGCTCGAGGCTTCTCCTGGCATTCCCTGTAGGTCACTCACATTCCAGAAATATTTGTCTGAAAGGTAATGAACAAAAGATGATTAGTTAATGTTCCAGAGGGATATCAGCCTTACTGCAAGCATCTTGTACAATGAAAATATACAGTGAAAAGGAAGTAGTGGTGATAAATTAAACTTGGAAGAGGTTTTCTTCCATTTTGTAAGATGTCATTTTTACTACTGTTAACCAACTAAAAACACCTCTACTTCTCATCTCACTCACTCACAGACACTGGAGGTTCATTACACTTTAACAAAAAGGCTTCTTGAATAGGAACACAACCATGCAACTGAGTATGTTGCATTAACATCACACTGTTCAGCTGTTTTGAAATATCTGAGGAGTGAGTTATCACTGACTACAATGTGAGGGAGAGGGAGAGAGTGTACATATGCATCTGTACCACCTCAGCTCCCCAGAGGAGCTCATTCAGGGGCTCTGCAGATCTTTCTGAGCATGTATGATTTGCAGATCCTGAAAAATAAAAGAGTGTAAAACACTCTGGTACCTTTTACTCATACCAACCTTTCTTTTCCTCATATATGTGCCACATATGAAGCCAGTGAGTCCACTGATGACTTGAATAAAACAAAGAATAGCTTCGATCACACCAACGGCCAGAAGAATAGAGAAAAGGACGGTATTCCAAAGGATAATGTTTTCTGGTTCTTTGCAAATGCTCCATGCTGTCTGGTTGAACAAGTAATTGTCTCTGTAATAGAGAAAAATAATTTGCAATGTATTAGAAAATAAAAATTTGATAATGCTTTCTGTGTTTTCTGGCACTGCATTTTCTGAACTTGATTTCACTAAGTCAGTCTCAAATTCTATTATAATTGATAAAAGCTGGTTATTCTCTTCAGAATTGTCTTTGCAGAGGTGCAATTGACAACTACGCAAGAGATCCATATCTCTGCTCTGTTGCATGCACCGGAATCTCTCTTTTGTTTTATGACAGTGCTAATAATTCAAGGGAAATTTTAAAATGCGTCTCCATATTCTCCATTCATCCAGTCCATCCATCATCTCTAGCTCAGGCTTGAAGAGCACAGTTGCCAAGGTTAATTTTAAAGAGTTGGAAAAGATTTTTGCTTTGCTTTTCAGAAGTAGGTAGAGTAGACTCAATTCATGATGATGTAACAGATTAATGTGGAATACTTAAGAACATTTCCACTTGGCTGCAGTGGGAGTCACAGCTCAGCAGCCTTTTGAAAGTGTGGTGCAACATGCACAAGAGGCTGCTAATGAAGCACCACAGAAGAAACTCAGGTAGCTTGCTGAAGGATGATCCTTGGTCAAAGAGATGACCAGCTGAAACATGCTGGCTCAGAGAAATGTGAATTTATTTGTAGACTGGGTGGACCATCAGTTGAATTTGGAAAAAATCAAATTTGCTATAAAAAGATGTGTATGGGAAGGACTGGGGAAAGCAAAGTTGGAGGAGCCTGTAAGTCATACTCACTCCAGAGTGTCGTTCCTGAAAGGGTAGAGGTATTCTCCGTCACCCGTGTCACACAGAGGGCCCCCAATCAGACCCAGCGAGGATATCACTGCACAATATGCTCCTCCTGCGAATCCCAGCACAGCCAAGATCACTGACAGCAACATCTGAAAGGGAAAAGACCTTCTGTATCACATGTACAGTGGCATTGAGTCGCATGGAAATCTTGCACTGAATGGGAAAGAAGACATCTTTATCTGTTTCTTACTATATGCTGAAACTTATAATAGTTTTTGTGGGCATAAAAAACAGTCAACTTTTTCTGACTAGTGCAGCTATCCTAGATGTGAAAGGATTTCAGTCTGTATTTGTTTTGCTTTTAAAAGTGGGTAAGTCCAGAGGTTTAATTATTCAGAGTTTTGCATTTGTCCAATCAATTATGAAAAATCTGGTCATCTTCTTTCAAAAAGCCAATATGAAGCCAGTACTGGCTTGATGTGGTCCACGTCAAGTGTCTTGGCATTTCCACCTCTTCACCAAGAGCACCTTTCTCAGCCCTTGTGCCAACAGGAACTAGCAAGCAACTACTGAACCAGGTATGAAAGCAACAGAAGATGCATTAGTTGGTTTTGCTAATTGATGGGGAAAGCAAAAGAGCCCTTTTTATTCCTGCTTTCCTTCATTTTGCAAGAGCATGACATGTGGTTACCACTGCTCATGTTGAGAAATCTAATTGTGCTGCGTGTGGCAACGAACCAGCAATGACTTCGAATTATATGTAACTCACCCATATGTTTTACATTGGCCACTCCCACAAAAATGTTACCTTTGCTGTTTTGGGGTAGTTTTCTGTTAAAGGATGGAGTGTATCTGGATGCTGTTTGTATAGAAACAAGAATCTCAGGCGGGTGCTACTGGTGGTGTACCTGGGACAGGCTTCCCACTGATTTTATTAAGAATCCCTGCCTGTGGTTGTTCATAACTCTGCCAAGAAGAAGAGAAAAAGGAACTCTGGAGCAGACTAACAGGGCCAGGGGAAAACCCAGACTAGGGGTAAGGCAGCAAGTCTGCCTCAGAGTCAGGGCAGAGGCTCAGCTGAGGAAGTACACGGGAAACTCTCCTGTCCATGACTTGGGTTTGAAGCCAAATACCTCTGGCAACATTTCCCTGTTGCCAGCAAATACCAGTGAAATCTAATAGCCCAAAAGGAAGGTAGAAACCTTCTACTAATGCCAGCTCCTCCACAGAGCACTGCATTACATAGTCAAAGGGAAATATCCACCATACACGTTGCAGGTTTGTGACACAGTCTCGAAAACTATCCACTATCCAAGTGTGTTCAAGCTGGTGACTGCAGTTTCCAACTTGCTAGCCAATGACGTTACTGCTTTCTGTACAACCCTGCATGCTGCCAGTGTGTGGATTGACTCATTCAGTGTGTCCTTTTGCCTCTAAAGCAATCCTTGAGTTAGAAGTTGCTGGGATTTCTCATGAGTTTTATTTCATCATAACTGATTAATAACTTTTTTTTTTTTTGCAAGACTGGACACTGTTTTGACTTTACCTGCATGCTGGCTGAGTTGTTTCTTAGCGGAGATACACTGTCAGCAAAAAGCAGGTAACTCAGTGTGTTGTTGCAGACCAAAGCAGTGCTGGGTTGTAGCTGATGCACTATCTCTCATAATAAGATCACCAGCCGTACCTTGCGGTGAGGTGCGTGACTGGTGCTCTGGTCTGAAACTCCTGCCTGTGCTGAACCACTTCTCCCCACCTGTTTTCTCATTTACTTAAACTGTGCTTTCTGCATCTTGGTTGGTGGATCTTAATTATGCTAATGTTTAGTTTTAGCACAGCATAGTAGTATGGGCATCCCAAAGATAATTATGATAGAAAAAGTCAAACGGTCTTTTGCTACTACTATGTTTTATGGTAGTGGTTAGTACCAGTAGTACTAATTAGTACTATCTGTGATGACTATTCTTTGACATAGGGATTTTCTCGTTTGAAGTCTGTTGGCTCTATGGTTAGCTCCATCTCATCTGTTTCCTTTATTGTACATATGCTTATATAGACTGCTTGTTACTAAAAGGGAAGTAAAGTTGCTGCAGCTCTTAAGTTGGCTGTTCTGGGAATTTTCCAGACACACAGTGGCATTTTCTCATGACATCTACTCTTATGGAGTCTTTTCTGGAGGTTTGTCCCATATTCTCTGGAAATACAGCAATTCTATTACCTATCACATCATCTCAGCCTTTCAGCATTTTCCTGAGCTGTACCATCTTCATTTATCACTTTATTTTAAAATAATTTATTTCCTCTTTTGTGTCTTCAGTTGCAACATGAGGTCTAAGCTGCAATGCTTGAGTTTGTTGAAATGAGTTTCCCATAGTGTTGGCCTGTTTTTTACTTCTTACAAAAGTTTAGCTGATCATTTTTGCTGATTTTCTTTTAATGTTTTCCATGCTTTATCCTTCACGCAATTGATTCTCTCTGATGTGCTGATGAGGACCTTTAGCATTCATTCTTTGAGCATTTGCATCAGCTGCTTTGGTGAAGTTACAAAGTTCCTCCTGTCTCCGCTTGTGCAGCTCTTTATTGCCTTGGTTCTTGTTTCATGCAAGAAATTATTTATTTTTTCTCTTCCTCTGGAGGTGTGTTTTTGTGGAATTACTATCCTGTCTGGTTATCCAGATATCTTTGCTTATCTAGATTTGTTTTTCTGGAAAGCTGCTATGGCAATTCTTGTTCTACTCATAACTCTTAAAGAAGGTTTAGAGAGAAGTGCTACAGTATGTTTGCTGATGCAGTGACAAAGGCTGTATTTTGAGGGGGCCTTTTTTCCTCATTGTGCCAGTGCAGTGGATGCTTTCAGATGTGCACATGCCAAGATGCAAGACACGGAAGCTTTCTAAATCTGTTACTTTACAAAATCATTACTCCATAACGCAAGGACAAGAAGCCATCAGGTATGTTTGCAGGCAACAATTTAAAATGGATTAATGAAACAACTTACTCAATGCAGCACGTAATCACTGTGGACTGGAGAATTCAATAAGATGAATAAAAGAATGAGAAATTTAGTAATTATTATTACTGTTGTTGATACTTCAGCAGCATGTAAAGGCTGTAATGAAGTCTGAAACTATTAAACCAAGGATTGCACAAAATATACTAGGATAGAGTTCTTAACATTGTGAAAATGGTTATGTTCTGATTGAATAATAATTTGGATCAGTATTAGTTCATTAACTTCTTTTTTTTCTCTATGAAAAACAATGCTGAGTATTCAGTGTAAATTATAATTTTATACCTAAGGCTCCCAAAGCAGAAGGGTGGCCCAACTAACCTTTGATTACAGAGGCTCCTGAGTAGCTCCAATGATGCGGGCTACTTCTCTGCCAGTAGGTAGAAGTTAGTGGAAAAGCCACCAAGACCTGGGGACCCTGTATCAGGTCCCCCTAGACTCACTTCACAAGGAGCTCTAGCACCTTGGGAAGCCGCTACCATCGTGCATGTTTGAACCAGTCCCAGAGTTCCTCTGCTCTCCATTACCTGGTGATCCTCATCATACCCTGCCTTGGGTATGCAGTCCATATGGTCAGGACATCTGAGCAACCCTGCTGTGGTGTCAGTGCATTTACTCCTGCTGTCTCCAAAGTAAAGTTTCCCTGAGGTTTCCTCTCCTGGAGAAGCACATCATTGGCCTTCAGATCTCCCTGCAGTACTCACCTCTTTTTGTGTGCTTTGAAATCACTCGTCTTCAGGAGCTGTTCTGGGAGAAATGCTTGGTTTTAATGCCATTCATAGCCACTTGCTCTGCTCGTGTCCCAGTCCCATCTCTACATTAAAGGTATATTCCCTTTAAAACACAGGGTGACTTGCAGAGCTACACTCCCTTCCAACTAAATGAAGCAGGCAATTCCCACAGTCCAAGAAGACAAGGTTTTCGAAGATACACTGTCCTCACCAAGCCTCTTCTCTAGTTTGGTTTGAGTAGTTTTATCACCTGGTCATCAGCTCATAATCAAACAGCACATGATCAAACTACTTTCTCACTGATACCTATTACAACAAATAAGGAAGAGAGGAACAATTTGTAGGTAACCAGTCACTGCTGGGAAGGTGCAGACAGGATACCTGGCACTCCTGTACTGCTGCCAGGAATGGTTCAGACAGTGAAGGGGTGGTGGAGGGGAGCAGAGGAGCATGGGGGTGGGGTGTCTGTGGATGTGGGCTACTGGATGGCACTGTGCTACTACCTGCATCTGTGGGCTGAGGGAGTGAACGCAGTCTGGGGATGTTTGACTCTTGGCTCCATAATAATTAGTGCTGGGATGAAGGATGGAGAAGGGAAACCTGAGATGCTGTGTGAACTGAGCTCAGTTCAGCTGGATTTCCCCTGGTGACAACATGTTCAACTGAGTGTGGAAACACCCACATTACAGCTGTTTTTCGCCTCTGCTTTCTACATCACTCAAAACCAGGAGAAGCAACCGGCTCAGTTGCTGGGTTCAGAGTGCCTAGGCTCACATCCCAGCTCTGCAACTGGCTTGGCCATCATTAGCAAACCCTCCTTGCTATGCATGTGACATTTGGTAAAATCAATGTTATAACATGTCCCTTGGGATGTATTTGCTGACATCCTAATGAAGAATGTATTTTGGTATTATGCATAATGAATTAAGTAAAACATCTTGAAGAGGTAAAGGTCTTCCCATGGATCAAAATAAAAATTAATTGAAGAGTGCAAGACACATGCTTTATTGTATGGAATCTCTCATTCCAGGCTGCTTCTAAGAAGTCTTCTAAGACGACTAAAAAACCATCTCTAAGTCAGTTTATTCTTGTTAATAATGATATTCACATGCAAGTTTTTACCCAGGGCTTGAGGTTTAATGGAGATGCCTGTATAACATGTTGCTTTATAATATTCTTAATTATCAAGGGAAAGAAGTATTTTTGGTCTTTCTGGATGACACAGCCAAAATTACATTTGTACTTTTCATGTGCATATGGTTGGGCAAATGCGTGTTGCGGGTCAAAGCTTTTCATGGGGACCAGCCTCCAGGAAGCAGCACTGTCTCCTTTGTTCCAGCAGCTGCAGCTCAGGCTTTTAGCATGGGCCTGCAAAGATGGGGACCGATCTGTCCCTACAGAGGTAAGCAGGGATGAACTTGTGGCAAAGCAAATTGCCTTGGAAGGGCATGAAGGAAACAGGAGCAGGTGAAAGCAGAAGGAACAGGCAGCCACCTCAAACTTTAGGATTGCCTTTAGCAGGAGGAAGCTGGAGCTATGCCTTACTTTATGTGGGTGGAAGTAAAGTAGCTTTGTCACCCTTTGCTGTCAGTGATGTGGCTAAATGCTCCAGCACCTGCCCTGGCTGAGTGTGATTTCCCTCATATCAGTGGCTGCGATACCATAACATTCTTGTTGGCTAACTGAGCTCTCAGCCCCAGCCCAGGGACGCTGTAGATCAAGCTCCTCTTCTTCATTTCCCTGACATGGCTGTTGGTGGTGGTGTGATGGTTTGTCATTGTACATTTCTGCCTGCTGAGCAGCCATTTAAGAGCTATTGTGCAAACCCTATAGTGCCATTTCAACACATAAATATCGACTTACCCCACATCTGTTAGCGCAACATCCTGCTCCGCCTGCTCCCAACATCATGAATGCTGGCAAAATAACCTGTGAGAAAGACACAAACTGAATCGGTGTGCAGCACTTCTGCTGGGATGGTTTTTAAAGTCATGGGGCCAGGTCATCATGTTCCTCAAATACAAACCACCTTCTGCCTCTTCTCTGCGAGTTCCACCTGCTTAGATGTTGCTGCTTGCTGAAGAGTAGCTCAGGAAGAAGCGTGGGAGTACAGCGAGAGCTGGCTGGCAAGTTTCCAGTACCGTAATTCTGATTGCTGAAGCTATAGTGCTTCTTTTCAGCAGGGTTCCATTTGGGTTTTTTTTCAGGAACAAATGAGTCAGTTTTGAGAAAATGGAATTTCTGCTCAGAAAATGTACATCACTGGAGTAAGAATTATGTCAGTTTAAATCTTCTGAGCATCCCGCTCTGGATTATAATTGGGAAACCAGTCTTAAGCTTCCTGAAACACGAGACATGTTCTTTCTGCTAAGCTTCTAGAAAACCTACAAAAGAGACTTCACTCAACAGGAATCTCTGAGTTCACATCAGCTTTCTCCATGGTAATTACCAGGAAGACCTGGACTGATACAATGAAGTCAGGAACCATCTGTGTCTCAGGATATAATGCCACCTTACAGAGGCACTCAGGAGATAGGAAAAGCTGCATTTAGTTTGTTAGCTAGAGGTCAGGAAACACTCCTGCTGCCTTGCCTCCACCCACCAATCTCTCGCTTGGGTAGGCGTCTCAAAGAGCAACAGATGAAAATGGGTATTTGAGAAAGTAGGAAAAGGTTCCTGTAAAGTTAGGGAGGAAAAGGAGAAACCCCCAAACAAACAAAAAATGTAAAAGCTGTAATAACAGCCTGACTAGATGATGGAGAGGAATTGTTGTATGGCCGGGAGAGCACCATGTCCATGGCAAATGAAGCCCATGGAATTTACATGTGTAGTGTGAGTATATGACTGTGTATGACAGTGTTATGAAACCTGCTGAGATTTGTATGTCCCTAAATATTTTTCATAGGATTTGCTCTCCGTTGTCTTTTATGCACACCTCTGAGGCAGCCTCCAGCGCCTGCAGTGGTCGCTGGACCACAGCTGGGGACCTGCAGACATAGAACATTGAGGTTGCAAAGATGTTCCTCTTCCTGAAAAGAAGTCAGCTCTTAAATAGTCACAGGTGGTCCCCAAGGCAGCCTTGGTCCCGGCGTTCCACTGTCTGGCACTCTGAAGGAGAGCTAACACCTCTGCCCATCAAACCAACACTCCTTTCCCGCAGGGCTGGCTCTCTTCTTGGGATGTTTCCCATCTAAGCTGCGAACACCTTTGTGCCGTTTCTTAGCCTGGTTTGGGATGAAGGGTTTGCTTGGCAGCTTTCTGGTTTCACAGTGCCTGATTATAACCACCTGCCTTTTGACGTGGGAGCAAGAATTTGCTAGATTTGGCTGTTGCCACTAAAATGAGAGCTGTGTGTGAGTCAGGCATTTCCCAGTGTTGCACACAGGCTTTCCATCAGGAAAGGTGTCCCTATGACACATGGAGCCAGTGTTCCTCTTTTTTCACCCTAAAATTTTGACATAAGGAAATGGAGAGGTGTTCACATCATACAAATTTCCATTAGAGAGGCAGCAGATGAGGAGGATGGGTGGGGTTGGTTGCTCAGCTGGAGTGTGCTGATAATCTAGGTATCAGCCCACAAATGAAGTTGTCAGGTGGAGGCAGGTCTTCTGGCTCACTGAGCCAGTCCAGGCTGTTATGAAGTTCTCCCCACAGTCCTGGCTCTGGAGGATGTGTCCAGGGATGTGTCCAGGAGGATGTGTCCAGGGAGATTCTCCAAGATCGAACAACCTGTTGACATGACTTCCCTGAGTTTCCTTCGGGGAGAAGCTGGGTACATGGGGGAATGCGTTGCAGCTGGGTCTGTCCTCACTGTGGAGCCAGGATAGGGACCAGGCTCCAGTCATGGGACATTCTGCCCCTTGCATAGCTCCTTAGGGAGCCCAGAACTCAGTCTTCATTTTTCCATGCTTCCAGAACCTGGAAAATGGAACTGATGCTAATTCTTTCTTTTCCCTTCTCTTCATCTGTAGGCATTTGCCATGCTGTTTTCTGGAAAACATGTACACTCACAAGCCTTGTGTGTGGATCAATAATTACTCCTAATGCTGTGTTTAGAAGGTCAATGCAAATTTTTCCTCCTCTCTCACTTGTTCTCATTTTTGATGTATGTGGTTCTGGCCACAGGCAAGTCTGTGTGGAAGCCTTAAAAGAAGGCACGTTTTCAATGAACCTGTGACACTCTCATGCCTAACATCTGCCTTTCCTTTCATTGAACGCCAATGACTCCTGGGCTTGCAGTGATACGAATTTTCCACAGGTCTCTCATGTCGTTCCACTTCTTCCTTCAGGCCTCCTTCCACAAAGTCATGCTTACGTTCAAGCGCAGCGTGACTAATAGGCCCAAGTGGTAGCTGGAAGAAGACGCAGGCAAGCTGCTGGTGAAGAAAAGTTTATTGAATGATCTTATACCATGCTTCTGCTTTGGGAAGTATGAGTCTGAATCACATCCTTGTAGCTTTTCCATAGACTTAAGTGGTAGCTGCATCATAGCCTGACTATGAATGAGATTTGCTTTTTTCTAGGATAATTATTCTTAAACACTCATGGGTTTGATGTGCAGGCAGTCAGCTCTGTGCCAGTTCACCATCTGCTTAGGCTGCATAACAGCCAGTACTTGCCCTATACGTGTTACTTGCTTGGCTTTTTATCGTCACTTGAGTGGGTAACTAAGAGCATAAAGAAAGCAGGCTTTCTAATGAACTGGAACGGTCAGTGTTCTCAAACAGGTTCCCTTCTAGTTATGGATATTCACATAAAAGTGATCTTTCCTGAGTGGTGGAATGGAGATCCCATACAAATGAGATCAAACCCAGAAGGAGGTAGGTGAGGGTGTGGGAAGACAGGGGCATTTGGGATTTAAGCCATTTGCAGCTCCACTTCTGCTGTTACCTGGGTCCCTAATAGACACCTACTGAAACATGTTTCAGTTTTGTCCTGTTTTTTTGTGGATTATGTAAGCATAAAATCAATTAGAGGAGTAATGAGGGGGTGCAGACAATAGTGGAAACTCACCACCTCCAGCTGAGCTTAGAACCTCAGGTTTGCTTTAAGTCATGGAGGTTGAACACCCATGTCAATCTTCTCCACAGTGAGAATTCAGTCCTACTGCTTCCTCTTGACTTGGAGTCCTGATATTTATTTTGGGAATACCTTGTATTCCTGTGATTAGGAGCTTTTTCAGTCTTGAATGCACTTTCTCAGTCCCATATCCAACTTCCCATTTAAGCTGCTCACATGTTTATGGAAAACACAGTTTTATGGCTTTTTTTTTTTTTTTTTGGTAACAGGTTACAAAAGGTTTTCTTAGCCCTGAATTTAAAACAAAACAAAGAAAAACCCACAAGAAACAATACCACCACATCTCTCTTACCAGGATTCCAGCTCCCAGAATGCCATGGAAAAACCAGACCAAATCAGTTATCTCACTGGGCTGCAGAACTTGTCCGTTAGGGAAGTACAGGAGGATGTTGGAGACTATGGCACATGCTGCCAGTGGGAACAGGGTGATCCCAATGCACTTCGAACACTTCCCCGTGCACATGGTAGCTCTGTGCTGAGGAAAGACGCAGGGAGGTTTGGGTTACTGCAGCGTAGGGAGCATGGGGTTTCAGCATTTTTCTTCTTTAATGAATAACTTTTGAAACAAGAAATGTTCCAGTTAAGACTTATACAGATAATCCTGTTCTGCAGAGCTTGTTCCCTTCAAAGATTTTATTTAAAATGGAATTATTAAAAACTGGAATGTTTAATTGAATTTTATTTAAAATTGCCAGGACTAAACATGTGTTGGTATGACATGAACGGAGAGTTTTTATTGTAGTTGTTAAAGGACGATTGTCTGTCCTTTGGGAACATCAGTGACGAAACCATGTCTGCACAAACTGATACCCTGGGTGGCAGAGTTCACGGTGGGGCTAAGGCCTGGGGTGGAAGGGAAGGTTTTCTGGGACCACTGTCTTGGGAAGCTGATTTGAAATATCCTTCACTGGATGTCTAGAAGAGCAGGAAATTGCTGCCAGGCATGCCATAGAAATGTTCGACCCTGCCTTGGCACTGTGGCAGACAGGAGAGCAACACCAAGGCCCCTACCAGCTGCATTTTCTCTATTTTAGTCAAAAACACACTGTCAGCAAGAATTGGAGAAACTTTCATTACTGTTTCCTGTGACATGCTTATTCTGCAGATAAGGGTAGATGAGACTGTGGGTTACATGGCTGCTTGGCACCCATCCTAAAATATCTGAAAAACTAGAAGCATGCCTAATCCTGTGGCTATTTGCTAAGGGCAGGCCACAAAGCCATCCCACCTCTTTTTCAGAAATCTGCCGTAATGTGTAAAACATCAGCATAATATTTCACAGTGGTCAAGTTCTTCTTTTAAAATCAAAAATCCACATAAAAGAAACACTGGTTGAAAGGGATCTCTGCAGATCTCCGGTCCAGGCCTCCCGCCAACACTAGGTTTCTGTGTCAGCCATGGCTTTGTGTAGCTGAGCTTTAAAAACCCCTGAAGATGGTGCTACCCACCTCTCTGGGTGACCCCTTGCAGGCCTGGCCCAACTTCTTGGTGAAAATAACTTTCAAGCTGTAAACATGGCTGTTGCTCCTCATTATAATGATCCTGTCCCACCACTCCATCACCTCTGTTACTCCTTTCTAAGTTCATTGTAGGCTGCCACTAAATCCCTCTTGACCAAAGTGAATAACCCCAGCTCACATTGCACCCACACTGTGATCTATAGCCAAAGAGAAGAGGCTAGCTGGTACGAAAGTGGATTCACAGATATTTCTCTTTGTCAGGTCAGAAACTTCAGACTACTGGGTCACTGATTATTGAAGTCTCACACTGTCATTAACTTTATGGCAGAAACTGATCACAACTTCTTCATGATGTTTTATGACAGCTTCACTCCAGCTCAAGGCTTTCAAATGCATAAAAATACAAAATATCAATCTGTGGGTTTCCGTCCTCAAAGAAAACTGAGAGTTTATAACAAAGATGGCTTTGTTCTCCCATGGGCAAGTTATAAAATATAAGAGAAGGAAGATGGTGTGGACATGCACCATTTCAGTACACACACCTGTGTTACACATGCACACGTGCAGCCATGCACGCACACATGCCTAAACTTACTATGTGCAAATAGTCGTTTTTGTAATAACCAAAGCAGTAAACAGTGAAATGACCCTCAGTTTAGTCATGGGCATTGGCTAATCCTGAAGGTTTTGTGACAGAAGTTGGTGCTGGGAACGTATTAAGTAGGCTAAGAGTACAGAAATCAAGGAAGGTTGGGTTCCCAAGCAAAAAAGCCCAGGTGAAAGACAGCATGAGGATATTTGGGAAATCCAGAGACAGGCTGAAACTGGCTTCACTGACAGAACGAAGACAGTGAAGAGGTGAGGTAAGGCATAAAGGCAGACCAATGTCCTCAGACCTCTGTGACTGAGAGGGAAAACAGAAAGACTTTATGGGATACCGAATATTGCTGTGAGGTAGCTGAGACTGCCAGAGACTTCTTCTAAGTTTGCATTTCTGTAGCAAAAAATTTGCATTGTTCTCTGCTGTTACAAGTTTAATAGGGGCACTGTGCTTATATGCCTTTTCTTCTGAACAATTTACAATTACCTCATGCTTTTTAATCCAGCTTTAGAACACATTAACTGGCATTAAATTATTCTAGAAGGGAATAGTTTTAGCAGAGATGCTTCTTGGTTTATGGTCATTACCTATTGTTTATATAGTGCTGGAAATTGGACAGGGCATTTTGCAAACCTCTGGAAAAAAGCCCCAGCTCAAAGAGATCAAAACCCAAGCAGACTGACAATATACAAATGAAAGATGAAGCATGGAGGAAGAGGAGGGAAATGGAAAGAATATTGGATATTTCACCCAACTTTCTCTCAAATACCCAATGCATCTGCTATTTTTTTTACAGACTTTCACCTGTCTGCTTTCCCATCTCATTCCAGCTTTTGCTTTTCCATGTGTTTGGCCAACCTCACCCACTTCCCCTCCCCAGAGAGAAGCAAACAAGCACAGGCACAGCCTTGCCTCCTTCTGTAAAAGCTAATTCTTGTAGGTGAGTTATAAATTCTCTTCTGCATCTTTCGTACATAGCCAGAGGGCTCAATTCTCACCCAGTGCGAAGCAACACAACGCTGCTTTGGCTGGAAGAACAGGGGTTTACAGCCCATTGTCTCTGACCTATCTCAATACCACTTCAAACTGCGAGGAGAGCTTACCTAAACATCAATCACCGGACCTAGTGAGAGCCTCTACCACCAAAATCAATGCCGCTTTGCTACCTGTGCACATCAGAGGATCTGACCATGTTATTACAGCTTAGAAAAACACTCTGGATTGCCAGAAGCACTCAAAACACTTTACTAATTTAGCAAACAAAAGCACTTTCTACAGCTTCGTTAAGCAAGGTGGCTAGAGCAAGCTTCTAATTTTTAACTAGAGTTTTAGAAAGTTTCGCTTTTTAATGCTGAGGGAAGCATGTAAGTGCCATTGCTTACCTTCTACACAGGGCTAGGATGGCCTCCAGGCTCCAGACCCCGCAGCCAGCTTCAGGCTTTCCAGCCTCTCTCTCCTGGAGCGCGGCGGTCTGAGGGAGGCACAGTGATGTTTTCGGGCAACAGCCTCTATTAAACAAATAGCTAGTTCTCTCCACAGAATGAGGAAATACCCCAAGTTATCCCTGGTTGGCCAGCACAAGTTGGCATGTCACCCAGTGTTATTGATTATTTTACGGCAGTGTTCCAGTGGTCAATGCCTTGACCCCTCGGGACACACAGATTGGACCAGCAGAGACCTTTTTACTGCTGCAACCATTTCAGCGGCATCCAGTTTGGCAGAAGAGGAAAGGCAGGAAGTGGCAGGGGTGCAAGAGCACAGAGAGGGACAATGGGTGTGTGGCAGAACATGTGGTTGAAGCATGAGGTGGTGGCCCAGCAAAGTCTGGCCGCTGGCCTGGGGTTGTCTTCTGCACAAGAGGTTGCAGCTGTTAAAACTTGGCACCGACTGCTCCGAAGCATGCTGTGGGGAGAGCTGGGTGAGGAGAGTGGGGATGGGAAGGGAAGGAAAGAAGATTCTCAATAAGCCAGGGGAAAAAGGAGGAAGAAGGGCAGAAATGCTGGAGAAAATGGAGAAGTGTGATCAAGGAAGGAAGCAAGGGAGGAAAAATACAATTCCAAGGAGGAGAGAGTGGGACTATGGAAAGGAAACAAGATTCCCTTTGGCAGAGGAAAAGAAAAAGGTAGAAGACACACTGGGGATGGGCCAAGAATTGAAAAACACAATGAAGAGTATGAAGAAACATGAAAATTAAACTGGGAGAAGACGCATACTAAGGAAAAATGGAATGTCTTTTGTAGAAAATATAATAGTAATAACCATTGAAATATGTTCAAACACTAAAACATAAAAAAATATGTTACTTGACAGGTCAGATTTGACACCAATCATGCTGGGAACATGCCCAGATCCCTCTCTCTGACTAAAAACATACCCCCTCTGGCAGGCACCTACTGTTGCCTTGTTCTCAGCATCCAGATGGAAGGATGACTTGATCACATAACATTAATGAAAGGGGCACGTGAGTGAAAACAAAGATGCAAAATATTCCACTCTCCACCCTGCCATCTCTCATCTTCATTCTCTAATATCACTACGAAAGATTGGCTGTATAGGGTGGAATTCATCTGACATGACTTTGGATGTCCATGTAGTAGATGTCACCCCGGACTGCATTTATTCCTAGTGAGGGAAACAGATATTTTGAAGGCAAAAAACCAACAAGGTCTATTTTAGGAGTTACTGTAGGGTTACAATAAATCTTTAATGGTGAAAGAATCTCAGCTCTTTTTCAGGTCTAGGTGTTGGCATCTGTGGTCAGAAGAATAGCATCCAGAAGGACCACCAGAGTGGCAGGGTGGCTGTAAAAGCACAGGGGCAAAGCCTGGGACTTCAGTCCCCAGGTTGCATATTTAATACCACCAGCATCAGAGGATGCAGGGAAGGATAGCCAGTGAAAATCTTGAAAAAACCCATGGAGTGATCTCAGACAAAGAACCTTCATTACAATACAGATGTCAAAAAGAAGGGAAACCGAACTTCATGCCCCAAAATTCAACTGACGTCTGTGGCAACAGTATTTCACCATGTTTTTTTGCAGTGGTGCTTCAATCCCAAGGAAAAAGAACAGAAAATCTCAGGCAATCTTCACACAGGGCAAAGGCACAAGACTAATGACATTTAAAGCATTTAAAGAATTAGATTTAGAACAACTTGAAGACCATCAGCAATTTGCACTGACAACAGGGACACCCTCGGGGGGACCTTCCAGTTTATGTAGTGAGTTTAGGAGGAAATAAGGAAACTTTATAATGACACTTAAGATGAACCCTCCCCCTAAACCTTATGTCCTGGTTGTTGGAATTTTTACAAAGTCTTACTCTACAGTATCTCTAAGGTGTCACCTTTCCCATCCTCACATACCTAACAAACACCTTAATTTGGGCTCACCATCCTTGATTGTGATTCTGC